CGTGCAACACAGTACGTAAGGATTAATCCAGCGCATATACGCACTTTCCCAGAGTTTCTGCTCACTGTCGATGAAAGTAAATTGGACACGAGAGACTAGTGAATTGTCGTTCGTGTGACATAGTTGATAGAGCCGGTTTCTAGTAGTCTCGTGACACGCCTCACGTAGATACTATCGCGCGCCGTGCGCTGAAAATATGATTTAGATCTAGCCGAGTACGGCGATCGTTAATTATATCTATAAGGTAAAATCATTCTGCGCGTCATTTATCATAAAGTGAAGAAGGCTAACAATAAACTATACCCTAATGTATAAGGTGTGCTGATCGAACGACGATACAGAAACAAAATGTTTTGCCTGTCGCGATGCTAAAATCAAGCTGTTCTACGTTAACGTTGCGCGTGCAAGTGATTTTCTCTCGTACGGCAAATCCGCGACAATTAATCAAAGAAGCGCGGAATACGGAAGCGAAGCATATATTCGAGGGGAAATTATGCTTATGCTTCGAACGGTTCAGCTCGAAACTTTCGCTCGAGTCTCGGGGTAAGTGATGATGATGATGATAGTAATGACGGCAGTCGTTAGCATCGCGACGCCGCTAACAACGGTGTTGGCTTGCGAACGCCTCGAATCATTGATCGCAGAGGCGAGAATCGCGGGTACGGCTCGTTACGAGAGATCGCGTGGGACATCGCGAGATTACATTGCTACAGTCACATGTGGATCGCTAGTCATTGAGTAATGCCCGTAGCCACTCTCGCTGCCGTCGTCGCCGCCGGTGCGGGTCTCCACGATATAATGATGTATGCACAAGTCGAGTTACGGCAGGAAAGACCATCGTAGATCAGACAGTTTATTTATGTTATTTGTTTCAGACAACTCTTTGTTACCTTTCTAAGGGCCAGTTTCACAAACGTCGGTCAACTGCTGACCGAAGGTTAATTCATTCTCTGTGTCTTCTTAGATAACAAAATGGAGAAAGATAGGAAGTTGACCCAACTCTAGTTAGCAGTTAACCGACGTTTGTCAAATTCGCCCTTAGAAAAACAAGTTTAAGATTACGTATAGAATAGCCTGTTATAATATTAAAAATTTATATGTAGCACATTGTTCGACTACGTACATTTAGTTTTCCAAGTGTTCCACGGCGTGAGAATTGGAAAAGCGCAATCGCGCCGCTTGACACTTTTGCGCGCATTCTTGCGCAGGAATTAATAATGCAGAATTAATTTGGCAAGTTGTATCGCTGCAGCGAGATATACGTATGTAAACACTTGCTCGCACACGCAAAATAAAAGTGTTTAACGAAATTTCACGTTTAATAGCAAGTAAATTACTGCATGCGTGTATATATTATTATTATTATTACTATAATACATATAATGTATAATATATATTAACTAATAATGTCATATAAAATCTTCAGACATAAATTATATATATATATTGTTAAGTAGATTTTTCCAGTCGTGTTTTTGCAAATGTACGTGGAGTTTTGTTAATCTCAGAAATTGCAGTTTCAATAAAAAATTGAATTGATTAATGCCTACCGATTCATACATACATAAAAGCACAGGAACTATTTGTCATGACATACATATTTCGTTGAAACGTCTTACATAAATTCATGATGGAAATGTGCTGCGTTGCAGGTAACCTCGAAAAGACGATCTCTCGAATTTCACTGTGACATCAACGAAATATCCCTCTTTCTTTTTTTTCCCCGCTGGAAAGGGATAGAGAACGATGGGAAGGAACCATGTTGCAAATGTACTTGCAAATTAAATTAATTGCTCAGTGAAATCGGTGACAGATGCGACAGCGACTGTCTCATCGATTCGTCAAGTTCGTGATTTAATTTTTCTTTCGCGCAAACAATTTCGAAACAAGAATTGAAACAGATCGAGCTGCAATTATGTCAAACTACGTTTAGTCTAAGAGAGATAAAAATATTTTATCGAAATGTAATAAGATCCATATAACGTGCAAATCTTAATAGATGGTTTTATAATTTATCATTAATTAATATCCCCAAGTACAAGACAGAAAATATTATAGATGGAAAGAGACATTCCAATTTTCTCGTACAATTAAGTTTCTGCTTTTTCCCTTTTTGTGCGATAGCCATTTTCTTTTATCCTTTCAAAACATTTTTCAATAATGAATGAATGATTACGCAAATTTAATTATTTTTGTTGTTATTTTATTGAATCTCGATGAAAGTAGCTGAAAGGGGAAAAGGAAGGAGAATGAGTGACTTCTTTCTGTCTCGAATACTTTCACTACAGATCCCGTGATTATCGTCTTCCCAGTTCAGCCTACTGTTCTTATGATTTCTACTTTTTAATTTTGGCAATAGTTCCATACAGGTGTCGCGGTTCCTTAGTGAGAAGAGATTCGGATAACTTTGAAACTATGATGTAAAAGTGATTTTTGAAGGTTTTTTGAGTGATGTACACAAAGTTCAAAGGTCTGGATACAGAAAGTCACGAAGCAGCTATCTTGATTTTAAAACGCTATTACTATCTCGAATCTTTCTACGCTCGCATTTTTTCACTTGTTCCCTCGGAATTCGCATTTTCGTTGGCGCAAGAATACGATATTGAAAATTGCGTGAAAATCATCCGAATACAACAATAACCGGGCGAATGAATGTCGCTGCGAGTGAGTCATACGTAATTCTCAACATATAATCGGCTATCATCAACTGTCAATCGTCAGCTCCTAACTCTTAACCTTTAGCTTTTTATTTTTCATCCTTCAACTTTCGAACTCTCGACTCTCAAGTCTTGACTCCAAATTTCCACCTCTCAGTTATTTACTATTTATTGTCTGGTCTCAACTCCCGCCTCTCAACTTAATCGAGCACTCGATTTCTACAGAGAAATCTCTCTCGGCAACCGAAGATTATACGTCTACGAGTGCTTTTCGACTGGCTTCTTTTTTCCAAAGGTCAAGGTCACGACGTGACATCGTACCTCCTCCGTAACACCTGTACTTGGACGAAGACACGTTCACACATGCTGGTTACCGTGTCCTCGTTCAAGTGTAGTTTGCTAAATTTTCATTGAGCGGTTTAAATCCTGTCTATCTGGATAAAAACATAGAGAAAGAGAGGGGGGGGGGGGGAAGTAATATAAAGAAATTGAAAAAATTAAATTATTTTGTAAAAAGATGCGTGTTAAGAAAATTATCTTATACAGTGTGCAAGTAATTAATTATTTATTAATTCTTTGAATATTTTAATGATAATTCGACATTTCAACAACTTGATAACAAATTGAATAATATCGAAAACAGGCGGTTCTTACGCAAATGAATTAACATATTAAAATGCTCTTAATTTCTATTCAAATTTCGGTCCAAAAAAATCTCTAATTATAATATATTAAAATCCATCACCGATTAACGTTTCCACGTATTATCAACAGTTATTGCAATCATTTGTACAAGTACAAGATGCACAAGGTGAGGTGTCAACATTCTGAATTTTGCAACACTCGTAAAAGCGGATAAAAGCGGAAAATATTACGGGGCAGAATATCCGTTCGACGTTCCCGATATCGCGCGCGCAGGCATTGATCGGTTTCCTTGGACGGCATTTATTTGTCTGTGTCGGCTTTGCCTTTCTCATGCTCATTATGCCTCCGTTCTCTGTCGTTTCTGAGAATGTTTGTGATCTTCAATTGCGATTTGTCCCTCGCCATTCCTCGAACTGCAACATGACAATCGACGTGACGTGTCACATTGTCATATCGAATCATGCTCTCGGGGCTTCTCTCGTTCTCCACGTGTTTTAGCTTTAAAGATATCAGAACAATGGTTGCATAATTTAACTCGCAATTAACCACACAATTCTAAATACCAAGCACATTGGTTCATCTCATATGTAATGCGATTTTGAAACATATTTTTTAATAAAAGAATATATTTTCCATTATTACTTATTTCTTTCCATCTTGATCCGAAAGCGTAAAAACGCAACCGTGCATTTTCGCACGATACACCAATGGATTGCTATGTAACGCGTCACTTAAAATCCTACATCTTTAACGTATTTTCTGTACTGACCATGCACTCTTCACAGGGTAGATAATATAAAGAAATTGACAAAATTAACCCGCCTAGAGTGTAGGGAGGTCCCGGTTCAAACCCTGGCTGAGATAATATTTGTCGCAATAAATTTTCTGCATAATTAAAAATGCCAGGTGCGGTCAAGAAAACACTGACGTTGTATCGCTGGCGACATTGAAGAATTCTTATTAGTTAAAAGAAGAAAGCACTTCTAAGATTCATAACGAGACCGTCGATATGGGCTGATTTTTGAAATACAAGATATTAGCTATCCACGTCATACATTCCTAATTTTACTACGAGGACACACGGAACGGTAGGATCAGCGCTATCGCCCGGCATAATTTCTACACCGCCTACTTATCCGCATTCATAAATTGCAACTTCTGCATTTACTGCGGTCGAGCCGATTACGTAGCCGCGTTACTCAAAATGCAACCTCGGTGCTTAAGGGCTGATTATAGGGAACTCATATAAGAAGGTACTCCCGTTATCGCGTTCGTTATGAGCATAAATCAAGTATAATGGGCACCGAAGATGTCTATTATCTCCGGCATCGCTGCCGTAACGAGACAGCTCGTGCATAAGTAGCCACTTTCCTCCCCCGTGCGCCGAAACTTCCTTCTCGGCTTTCTTGCCGGGCACGCATCGGCTCCGCTTGCCCTCTCGCCTCCACTCGCCCGGTGACTTTGACGCGCTGAACCGAACGCATCGCGCCCATTTCTTCCCCGTCGCACGGCCGCGCCGCGGCGCGACTCTCTTCAGTCGTGCTCGGCGCGACGATTTTGAGCAGAGAACTGCTTCGCGCGCGAATCCCTCTCTCTCTCTCTCCCTCTCTTTTTCGTACGTGCTGCTCGCTCGCTCTCATATTCGCGCTCTCGCTCAAAGCGGCGACCAACACGGCGGCACCTCTCGCTTTCACTCGCCGCGTGGTTGTGCAAAGAGGAGGCTATCACGGCACCCGTGGCGGGACTCTCAGTATCCGCCGGAGAGCCGTTGAAGAGACGTGTTTCTTCTCGATGTTATCCGCGCGATCAGTGTAACATCTAAGAGAGAGAGCGAGAGAAAGAGAGACAGAAGAAGAGAAAAAGAAAGAATAAGAACTTGTGTGAGCGAACGGGAGAATTTTCGCCGAATTACATCTTCGTGCGCCGAAAGCGACAGCGAAGAACGTGCGGGACCGCGGCGTGCGCGGGAGAAGACACGCGATTGTAACAGCGAAGACACAGCGAGTCGAAAGGGTGACAGAAATGGTGACAGTCGGCTGGCTCAGGTAAGGACTCGGATCATTAATCATGAAATAATTGTCGAGAATTAAGTGCTGCCTGGACTATCGGTTTCTCGTACGTTTACGTTTCCATTACGTACTTAAACTTGATATTATATTAAACAGTTCATTAGGAAAGATGCCCGTCTTCGGTCCGGACTGGTTCCTGGCAGCTTAATAATAATTTTCTTTGAATCGTCGCGCGTGCACCTTTTCCAAGGCGGTGAACCGATCGTGTGTCGGTCTTACAATTAAATGCACGGTTTACTTTCTGCGATCGAGCGCGAATCGCGAGGATTCGTCTTCACCTGAGACAAATGAGGAAAATCGTTCTTTCACCGGAAGAAGCGCGGAGTCAAAGGTTCACGCCGATAGGCGTTACGTGGTAGATGATTAGTATGAGTTAACGCTTGTCACGATGATAGCTAAGTGTTCCGTAAAGCATGTAAAAGTAACTTTCTAACGGTCAAGCGGTACTTGGTCACTTGCTGAATTAGGGAGTCTGCTAAACTTCGGCACCATAGGCCTCTCGTTCTTCAGTCGAATGCGCCTCGCGGATGTATCCGCGATAAACTTCAAAATATTCACGACGAATTCTGGGAGGAAAAAGAATTGTCAAGCGGCTGAAGTAGATTTAAATAAATGCCTTTCTTCAGTTTACGCGCGTCACGATTGAAAGAGAACCGAGAAGCAAGCGAGAGATAGCGCCCGCATGCACATGGAGGTCGCTTAAATGACAAAGTGATAATTTCAGGTTTCATAATTTCTGATAAGCGCTCGCGCTCATCTCCGTTTAACACATCCCTTTTCTTTTTATTACAATTATAGCCAGAAAGCCTCTTGCTCGTTTGAGATTTTCCTTGAATTACTTCCGTTTATGTCCACTTACGATCAATGTACGGTCCCGTGCCGTAATTGCTCGCTCGATTGATCTATGATAAACAGTGAAGTCATAAGATAGTTGTGTTTTCCGTCTTGCTGATGAGGAAACAACGCTCGATTGCTCATCTCGCAAACTATTCCGAGGAGATCATTTCTATTATGTAACTCACGTTGGAGAACACTTGTTCTATTTACTTATCCTATTCTACACACATATAGATCGGTACTTCGTTCTCTTGATGTTTCAATATTATTAGTATCGCCAATTTTTCAATACATTAAATGAAAAACACATAAAAATGTTGCATCTCGAATATTCCATTAATTATGGTAACAAAACTCGATCGATGGAACTGAGAACATTACGTTCGAACGTAGACCGAAAATCCAAGTAGTGCAGGTCTTTAATTAATCAGACGCGTTCATGTGCGTCGTCAAACATTACCTCGCGCACGAGGATGCGTTTCTAACTAAAAGGATCTTGGGATTTCTGCGTATTTTAGTATCTGAGATACCGAGGATTCAAACTTTGTATAGATTTGAAAAACGAACGAAATTTAAACGCAGTGAGTGGAGTCTAAAGAATAGCGCAAGCGTTAATTAGCGTTTTGTACCAAGGAAGCCAATAGTGTCTGACATTCTACAGTCATGAGAAATCTCAGGATTTCCGACGGCTTCAAGGACCTGAAAGTCCTAGTGCTTTAAATTTAAATAGTTTGCGATAAAAACATCGTAAACTAAGGATTCCCGCACTGAAAAAAA